ACAAAGTGTCGTGTTCTGGGTGTCCAGCCAGCTACATAGGCGAGAGCAAGTGTTTCCCGGAAAGAATGCGCCAACACAAGAACGACGTCAGGAAGATGGAAGTGCAACGTAGCGCTCTGGCGGAGCACTGCGAGAAGCACGACCATAAAATTGACTTAGACGGCGCTTCTGTTATTGAAACAGAACGGAATTTGGGAAAGAGGCTCTTGCTCGAGTCTTGGCACATTCAGCATACGCCTGCCAACGTGAACCGCTCGCTGGGAACAATGCCTTCGGTGTACGTTCACGGTCTCCGAAACGTGGTGGAAAGGGAAAGCCGGAGCCGTGGTGAGAGAACACGACGCGACGACACTTCCATGACCAATACAGTCACCCCCTGAGAAAGGGACCGAGTCGGTCTCGAAACGTCGAGCTCTTTTTGAACTGTGGCTGGAGCAATTTCAATTTTCTAAACTTTCTACCCAGCCAGACAGATTGCTGTCAAAATGTTTACGTTTAAGACAGCGTTTGGGTCAAAGAACATTCAGCTGGATGGGAGGGTATCGATACATCAGCAAGGACGACAATATGGGGAAACTGGGCCTGTTAATATTGCCGCGAACCATGCATTGGGTTTGTTTATTTGTGTTTTGTTTTTGCCGGGTCAGGTAGGACTCCCGCGGCGTTCACGATGTGACCCAAGAACTTGAGTTCCTCGTACGCGAAACGGCACTTCTCAGGCTTCAGCGTTAACCCCGACGTACGAATGGCCTCGAGTACAGATTCCAACCTTGTGAGGTAATTGTCGAAAGTCCGGGCGAATACGACAACGTCGTCGAGGTATACGAGGCAAGTGTGCCACTTCAGGCCTGCTAGCACAGTGTCCATGACTCTCTGAAACGTTGCGGGCGCCGTGCACAGCCCAAACAGCATCACCTTGAACTCGTACAGACCGTCAGGGGTTATAAATGCAGTCTTCTCTCGGTCTCTCTCGTCCACTTCAATTTGCCAGTAGCCGGTCTTCAGATCCATGGATGAGAAGTACTTGGCGTGGCAGAGGTGGTCGAGGGCGTCGTCGATTCGTGGCAGGGGGTACACGTCCTTTTTGGTGATTTTGTTTAGTCTCCGGTAGTCAACGCAGAATCTTAAAGTGCCATCTTTTTTCTTCACGAGTACAACCGGCGCAGCCCACGGACTTTTTGATGGCTGTATTATGTCGTCGCTGAGCATGTCATCAACTTGAGTCCGGATGACTTCGCGCTCGTGTGAAGAAACGCGGTACGGTGACTGTCTGGTAGGTCGGGCTCCATCTTCGGTTATTATCCGGTGCTTCGCCAAAGGTGTCTGACGTAACTTCGAGTTCGAGGAAAAACACTCGCTGTAGCGACGGAGCAACTCCAGTAATCTGTCCCGATTTTCTTGTGACAGCGCCGGGTTCACGTCGAAAGGATGTGGCAGCTTGGAAGCATCTGTGCGTGCGCGTTCAAAGGTGGCGACCGCGATCACTTGACTCGCTTCTTGCGTTTCTTCGAGGAACGCAATTGCAGCGCCCTTGTTTAGATGCTGGTACTCCTCGGTGAAATTGGTGACCAAAACGTGGGATCTGCGTTGCTTAAACCGCGCAATGCCTCTTGCAACAGATACACTGCGGTCTAGAAGCAACCTTTGGTCAGTCTCCACGATAGCGTCGACGTCAGGAGCAGCACCTTCACAATAGACGGCGATCATCAAGCTTGCGTGGGGTGGCAGGGTGACGTGATCGTCGGCGATCCTTACAGCAGCACGGTGTCCGAGATTCGGCTGTGGCGTCGTGGAGTGATCGGAAGAAAACGTTATCGACCTGGTCTGCAGATCAATTATTGTGCCATTGTCCGTCAAAAAGTCCATTCCGAGAAATACGTCACGGGAGCAGTTAGGCAAAATGACGAACTCTGAAGGGTACGTAGTGCCGTCTATGGTGATGCGCGATGTGCACATTCCACTTGGGGTCACGAGGTGGCCTCCTGCTGTGCGTATGTGCGGACCGTCCCATCTGGTCGTAACTTTTTTTAGCTTGGACGCGAATGACCCGCTCATGACTGAGTAGTCGGCTCCCGTGTCGATGAGGGCGACTACGTCAAGGCCGTCGATGGACAACTGGACGTCGGATGCCACTTTCTTCAAATTTTGGGTGCGTCAGGGCGTCGTATTGCGGCTTGCACGTGTTGATGGTCGGGCACTATGCGTCGTCATCGTCGTCTTCTCAGCGGCAGGCTTCGTTATTTCGGGTGCGCGTCGCACAGCGTAGCTGTCGTCGTTTTCGGGGGTCTCGTCAGGGTGTCGTCGGGTCGTCGGGATGAGGGCATGTCGTGAGTCACGGTCTTGCGTCGTTGGAGGGTTTTCATTTTCTCGCCGTTGTGCAACTTCACCTCCAGAAGTTGCTGCTTTTAGTTTCCCCCTCGTGGGCTGGGGGACCTTCCACGGGCGAAGTCAGCATGGCTGCGGCGGTTGGGGGATTGGTACGGGTAGGGCGACGGCGAACGGTTGAAACGGGATGGTCCATGGCTGGTGTACGACAGATATTCTTCGATCTCAAATGGGCGCTGGCCGGCTCGCGGGCGGGGTGCGTCGACGGAGAACCCACGCAAACCCAGCCTCTTGTACGGGCAGCGGCAGTAGACGTGGTCGGCCTCTCCGCAGTGGTAGCACAGCAGACGATTATCTGGCGTTCGCCACACCTCGGTCTTCCTGGGCGCCTGGTTTCGGGTTACAGGGGGTCGGGCGGGCGACATGGGGCGGCGGTACGGCGGGGCCTCTTGATAACGGGTTGGGACGGGTCGGGGTCGACGAGCAGCAGCGGAGTAGGTCATCGCTTGTGGTTCGCAAGATGCTTCCGACGGCATCTTCTGGCCGTCGGAAAACTTCTGGCCCCGCCTTACATACGATGTCACCCACTATGTCCGGAGCTGCCGTGACTGCCAGCGACGAAAAACACCACCGACGAGACCAGCCGGACTTCTGCAGCCGATCGCCGTCCCAACGAGGCCCTTCCAACAGATCGGAATGGACCTTCTGGGCCCGTTCTCTACATCCCGATCCGCGAACAAATGGATTGTCGTAGCGACAGACTACATGAAGCACTACGCAGAGACCACCACTCTTCCTAGGGGAACTGCACAAGAAGTTGCAAAGTTCTTTATTAGCCAAATTGTGCTGCGACATGGAGCCCCTGAGGTCCTAATCACGGACCGCGGAACGACCTTCACTGCGGAGCTCATGCAAGGAATCTTACGCTACAGCAACACAGATCACCGAAGAACGACGGCGTACCACCCCCAAACGAACGGACTAACGGAACGGCTCAATAAGACAATCGCGGATATGCTGTCTATGTACGTCGACGTTGAACATAAGACGTGGGACGAAGTCCTCCCGTACGTCACGTTTGCGTACAACACGGCTATTCAAGAAACCATGCAGATGACACCGTTCGAGCTCGTCTACGAAAGACGGCCGACTACGATGCTCGACGCCATGCTTCCGCACGTAGAAGACGACGACCTCAACGCCGACGTCCAAGGATACCTCCAACGTGCGGAGGAGGTCCGCCAGCTCGCTCGAGCTCGTATAACAGACCAGCAACTGGTGGATGCCGGACGCTACAATCTCCGACGCCGAGACGCCGAGTACCATCCTGGAGATCGTGTGTGGGTTTGGACTCCCATTCGACGACGTAGACTCAGTGAGAAACTTCTACGACGCTATTTCGGACCCTACCAGATTCTACGACGTGTTGGCGAACTAACGTACGAAGTGATCCCCGATGGGGACTCCCGTACATCACGACGATGCACGCGGCCCGAAGTCGTCCATGTGGTTTGCTTAAAACCTTTCTACGGACGATGACGAACTTTTAATTTGTGTGGACTGTCCCTTATGTTAGCATCGGTGTCCCTTATGTTAGCATCGTGTCGATGCACTCTTAGAGGGGGGGGGGGGGGGTAATGCCGCGAACCATGCACTGGGTTTGTTTATTTGTGTTTTGTTTTTTCGGCCTGGCTGCGCCGGCCTGTGCTATCGCCGTTTTCACAGCGTTTCGAACAAACGCTACCACAGCGTTTCGAACAAACGCTATCGAACAACGCTTCAGGCGTTGTTCGATAGAAACAACGCTTCAAGCGTTGTTTGTTAGAAACGCTGTTCGAACGAACAGCGTTTCTGACAAACGCTATCACGGCGTTCCCAATACAATTCGACTATTCGAGAAACCCTCGCGCCGAGGGATATAAATTCCCACACAGCCGATGCCGCGTCATTCGATCGCCGACGCTCACTAGCGTGCCCGTCGTTTTGCTGGCCGCTGCTTCGCCGCCTGTGTATTTTTTCAGTTGTTAGGGAAGCACAGGTTCGCTCCAACAAACTTGTTTTCTTCATAGACAACTGCATCGTCCTTTGCTGCGTGACGATATTGCGAGATTTGAAATACGAGGAGCAAGGCAACAAAAAGTGACACAGACCTCCCCTTTGCATTTGCTCTCTCAATTGATAAAAGCAGTTGGCTTTTGCCTCTCAGTAGTCTTCAGCATGAGAGAACTTTTCATCTGTGCTGTCTATAATTTGCTGTGTCAACTGCGCCGCTAATCTCATTCTTGGCGCTTTGAGAACTTTTACTACTGAATTTCATACACCTGAATCACGAATCTTCATAGTGGGGGTGCGCATGCTCTGTGACAAAAGCTGGTATGCCTAGTCATATTATGGCTCATTAAAGCGTGAAAAACACAAACAAGGACGAGAGGTGTACTAGGCACAGCGCATATCGTCAACTGAATTTTTACTGCAATACGAAAACACAAGGTCTTTTTTTCTTGTGTTATATATGTTATGCTTTTACAGTAAAAAAAGTTCTGTTAAAAGTTACGTTGCATCTGTATTTATCGCATTGTTGACCAGAATTAATCTGCACCGACTCGGCCTGTTTTCCATCCTACAAATTACGACAGTTGTGGGACGACAATGACATTTCTGACATTTTCATGCAGGGTCACTTCATTGAGGTGCAAGTGACCGATGGTGCCCTTTACAGGACCAAGATTCACTGCTACTTTCTCGATCAGGTGAGTCTTTGAATGCATGGACTGTCACTGTTTCTGATCTCAATAATGTCTTATAACCGCAGACGAGAGTGGTGCGACCGCTTACCAACGAGAAGAACTACCACATCTTCTACCAGATGCTTGCCGGACTCAACCAGGAGGAGAGAGGTACGAGAGGCCAGCCCGGCTATGCAATCCATGCACGGTGACTAGTGCTGCCCTATGGCCTTCAAATCAAACAGCCATTGAGAGCCTGAGCAGAACCAAACACTATCAATATGCCCGCTAGCATGTAATTTATCAGAATCGTGAACTGTGGCATAGTCGATTGCATCAAAAGGTACACGTCTTGTCCTTCAGGAACAATGTTGTAAAGTTTCTCAGTTCATCTCTGCTTTATTGGGCAGTGAAATAAGTTGAATTGGATCACAGTTGTCAGATGTAAAAAATTCAGCAGATCCCACGTACTTGGGAATCCACGTTATGCGAAGTATGTGGAAGAAAGGTGACAGTGTTGTAATTTTTTGAGTGGCATGTCATAAAATGACACTAAATTAATGTTCAAATGTCGCACACAGAGACATATGTTGAAGGGTTGCAGATGTTTATTTAACCAGTAGTTTGCACTTGCACAACGATGCGAACTGGAACATGCGTATTAGCAACACCAGAAGCTGATATGAAGCACTGATGCTTGCAAAGATGCTTGCCCTGGACACTGCTACATAAATCATTTTCAGCGCATGACAACTAACCACATCTGACGTTAACCGGACGTGACGGCTGTATCCAAATAGTACATATGTATTGTTTATAAAATTGAGCAGGCAGCACTGAAACCACTGTTTAACATATCAAAAGTATTTAACATATCAAAAGGTACACGTCGTGTCCTTCAGGAACAATGTTGTAAAGTTTCTCAGTTCATCTCTGCATTATTAGGCAGTGAAATAAGTCAAAGTGGATCACAGTTGTCAGATGTAAAAAATTCAGCAGGTCCCACGTACTTGGTAATCCTCGTTATGCGAAGTATGTGGAAAAACGTATCGTAGATTAGTGTCTATTTGAAAAGTAGATTCGAGATCTGGCGTAGCTCTGTGGTAAAATGCTTCATTGGCACCCAAAATGCTTGGGTTCGATTCCAGCTGGGACCCGTCGGGTTGACGCTACCGACGTCGGGTATTTGTTAACACTTGCCCAATAAGATTGCCCATGTGTGTTCTCGTCGTTCCTGAGAAAATACCAAGTGTCAACCACCTGTGGCCCATACCCGCATACCGTGGGTATGTGCCACTGTCTGGTGGGAAGTGTTTGACGACATGCGTGATGAGATTGTGACGTTATTCATGTCTTGACAAGCGCGTCGTTTTCGTCAAACCATCTTACCATCTCATACTAATTTTGGTTCACGCCAAGTTAATGGGGTGATCACGAGAGCACCCAAATCTAAGCGGCTAGACGGACGGACGGACGGACGGACAGACAGAGAGACAGACAGACAGACAGACAGACAGACAGACAGACAGACAGACAGACAGACAGACAGACAGACAGACAGACAGACAGCTGAAAGTGTTTGGTTCCCGCTCCCTCTGCCACTGCATGTTTGAATTGGTCTGAGACAGCACCTGTGCAGGTGTGCAATGATCTTTTGTGATCTTCCTGCTGCCATAGAGTTGGTGATATAAAAATGTTATGCAAAGGATTTAAATTTAGCTCAGGGCTGAGGGAATGCATTAACAGACCTTAATAATTATTAACTCGCAGTCTACCCTTCGCAGTTTTCGAGAATGCAATGCAAAGTTGATTGGTGCTTTGCTGGGTTGATAGGATTATCATTTAAGAGGCAAACTGAGTTACACAGCACAATTCTACGAGTGTTTTTACTTTACACTCATGTTTCATTCAATTCTCGCTCACAAAGCCTGTCTAGAATGTTCAGCGCAAACTGCAGCTTATTGTTCTACAAGGTTCTTGGTTATTGTATATCATTTTGTCAAAGTTACGCCTACTTAGTGCACATTGAAGATTATTTTGGAACTTACATCGCTGCTAGCGATAACACTAGAATATTCGACGGCAAGTGTTTAAATGCTGACACGATTCGTCGCTTGTCAGTTGGTCGACGACCGATGCTCTGCTCGCCGCTATCAGTGTCAGTGTATTGCTGTAATCTGACTTTCCTTTTTCCTGGCCCCAAGTTCCTCCGAATAAACAATTTAACCTGAACACCAGTGCTCCCTTCGTCCGCTTCAAGACCGCATGACATCTGGTGGAGATGCTGCTCCTTTAGTGTACCAGACGCCATCGTCAAGCCGTGAAGCCAGCGCCAGTCTTGAAGACATCGATGACAACCTGAAGCACTAACCAAGCCGCAGGCAACAAGGTCTACCGCTAGAGTTCTGGCCTCTACCTGAGAATACTCGGCGGACCAAGACCTTGACCACGGCCGCAGCACCAATGACAGACGCTGTGTCGCCTGTTCCGATCCTGCTCTGGCAATCCAAGGAGCCTCCGACCTTCCACGGTTCAGTCCTTGAAGACTCGAAAAGCTGGCTGGAGGCATACGATCGTGTTGCCCATTTCAATACCTGGACCAGCGAAGATAAGCTTCGTCATGTGTACTTTGCCTTAAAAAATGCCACTTGTACAAGGTTCGGGAACCAGGAGCGAACCCTGACAACATGGGACACAATGCGCACAAAGTTCCTCGCTACATTTACGAGCATCAATAACAAGGAGAGGGCCAAAAGGCTGCTTGAAGACTGCTTGCAGCTCCCAAATGAAAACCTGACGCTCTTCGCGGAAAAAATGACCACTTCTAGCACGCCGACCCCGAGATGCTTGAAGACAAAACAGTTCGCTTCCTCATGCGAGGAGTAAAGCAGGAGCTGTTCGCAGGTCTGATGTGAAACCCACCGTGCATTGTGAAGGCATTCATCTACTAAGTGGTGATAATTGAAGGGACGCTGGAGATGCGCACCTGAAAATTCAATCGCCGCTCGACGCCAGAGTACGTGGAAGTTAAACTAATTTGCTCCGACGATCTGCGCGAAACTATTCAAGTGATCGTGCAGGAAGAGCTGCGCAAGCTGTTACCTTCAGCGCAGCCTCAAGTGGGCTCGATCACCGACATTGTCCGCAAAGAATTTTGGCAATCGCTTGGAGTTTACGAAGCACTGCAGCTTCAGCCGCAAGCAATGAGCTACACTGCTGCAGCCCAATGCTATGCTCCGCCTTCATGCCCACGTCGAGAGGCTACACCATCGCAGTTCTGCTGCTACCCACTGCCACCGCTGACGCTATAGCTACACCTGCTGGCCAGCGCTACGTGGTAAGAAAAACCGATGTGTGGCGTGCCCCTAGCCACCGACCTTTCTGCTACCACTGCGGAGAAGCTGGCCACACCTACCACCGCCGCCAGTACTGCCAGATGGGACTGCATGGTTTTGCCATAAGATGCGCTGCGTTAACAGCGGGGTGAAAGATCACTCGTCATCGCCGACTACCTCGCAGCAGCGCAGTGGATGCCCTGCGGATATTCCTGTTCACTGTCACCGGGCCGCTACATGTCACCTCACCGCCGGCTGCACACTGGCCTAACCCGGAGCCGGTCACCTTGCCTGCACTTGGAAAGCTAAGGGCAGCAGCTGATGGAGGTGTGGTTGTTGTACGACGAACTGCCGGAGATCCTCCATCGCCGCCGCCACGAGTAAACCTTAAGAACCCACCGCAATGCCAATTTAGTTCCGAGGTCAAAATTTTGCTGCCGGAATACAGCTTTATGACACAACGTTGAAGCAGCAGTACAAACCGCCGCAGCCTTGATCCGACGCCACGGCCTAAAAATAATGTGAAATGACGAACTAGCGACCTCGATGTTTTTATTGACAGCAACAGTGTGACAGCTCTCCTCGACACTGGAGCTGACTATTTTGTTATCAGTAAAGCGTTCGCTGCGAAGTTAAAAAAAGCAAAGCATGCCTGGGAAGGCCTTAAAATAAAAGCAGCTGGAGGCCACCTGGTAATGCCGGAGGGAATCTGTACAGCGTCTGCATTAACAATCGGATTTATCCTGCAAGCTTCGTAGTACTACAGCGGTGCTTGAGATTTGTGATCTTTGGTATGGACTTCTTAAGCCTTCATGTTGCAGTCATCGATCTGAGATCCAAGTCAATAAGACTATCAACAAAACGAGCCCTACCGCCACACACCCTGCCCGGAAAGCAGGCCTTGAAGTTCTGGAAGATCAAATCATTATTCCCCCTCGCTCTAGCATCAAATTTTTTTGTCGGCTCTCAGAAATCAACATACCTGCAAGGCACGTTGAAAGCGACCAGCAGCTGATTATGAATTGCAAAATTTGCGTCGCAAGAGGAATAGCAAAACTGAGAGGCGGGAAAGCAACAGTGGTCCTCAGAAACTTCAGCAATGAGGGCAAACATGTGAGTAAAAGCACAATGGTTGCCTATTTTGATGACGGTTGTGAAAACCAGCATCGCAATCGCCCTAGCCTAGTTGACTGAACCTGCTTTAACGAATTGAGTTCTCCATGAGAATTTCGATGTCAATCTGAAACTTTCGAAGCATAAGCAAGAATGGCTGGAAGCCTGCTTCGGCATTACCAAGACTGCTTTTTGTCATCGTCGAAAATTCGGGAGACACCAGTAGCAAAAGAATGCATCATAACAGAAGAGACTACCAGACTACACCCTCAGAGCCAGTACAGAGTTTACGCGAGAGCGGGAGACCATAAGGAAACAAATCGACGAAATGCCACGCCACGACATCATACAACCTTCCAAGAGTCCATGGGCGTCACGTGTGGTGCTACTGAAGGAGGATGGCACACTATGCTTCTGCATCAAATAACATCACCTGAACAAAATCACGAAGAAGAATGTGTATCCTCTCCCATGGATAAACGACACTTTCGATTGACTCCACTACGAGAGGTATGTTTCGTATATGGACCTCGAGACCGGCTATCGGCAAATTTAAGTTGTTGAGAGAGACTGAGAGAAGATTACCTTTATAACATCAGGCGGGCTCTTCGAATTCAAAGTGATGCCTTTTGATTTTTGCTCTATCTCTGCAAATTTCCAACAGGTTATGGATACTGTACTGACTGGATTGAAGTGGCAGACTCGCCTCATGTACTTGGACGA